TAATTTCAGTTTTGAGCTGCTTGTCTAATTTGAGTTTTGTGGATTTTGTGATTTGTCTAATTTCAGTTTTGCAATGGGTTTCTAATTTCAGTTTTGTGGCTTTTGTGATTTGTGGATGATTCAATTTCAACACTTAGATCTAAGAATCTGCCATTTTGATTGTTGTGAATGATAGATTTTCTTGATTGCCAGTCTGATTGTGCCATTCGAAGTGATTCGATTAGGCCATTTCACTATTGAACTTACTACAAGATAATAGCTTTCCAGTTTCCAGTTTCTGTAAATGATTGTGAAAATGTTGTTTATATGTGAATGATTTAGGCTTGTGAGAAGTGAGAACTGAGATGCAACGCTGGATTCTGGAATAGGCGTGATTCCACAATTTTCGTGGATTTTCTACTTCGCAAGTAAGCAATGACTTGCCCTAACTTGATATTGAAAATGTTTGAAGCCTTGTCGGCTTATATAATTGTGGCCTGGTCAGCTTTTATTTCATTGTAGCGTGTAGGATCAATTGCACAGGCGCACGTAGTCACTGTATTAAATACTTTAATTGAGAGATGATTGAGATATTTTATAATTAGCAATACGTTGCATAATGCACTGTTGGATTTTGCGTTTACGTTGATCTCCGGGGGCCCAATTGTGGGAGTTCGCCTCGGGCCCCGAAAATAACAGGACCGGCACTGACTGTCAAAGCAATCTTGTAGCAAATCCACTAGCATTAAGAGCTCATCATCGGCTCGTACATGTTGGTGGATAGCTCCATATTTTACTTCAACGTTTATATTTTCAATATGGTATACTCTTTATTTTTTAACGTTTATAGTTTTGTTAATATTTTCCTCTGCTCCCAATTTGGTATACTCTTTATTTTTAATATATTAATAAAAATGTTGAGATGAGTAGATGATGAGGATGCTAAAAAGGTGTTGAACTAATGGGAACGTCGGGGTGTACGTGTTGATTCCTATTTTTAACAAACTACGAAAAAAGCCTCTTGCCTCACAGCCGAGCCCTACGTTCCTGTTTTTGGGTGGTCAAATCGAGCCTCGGACCCACATACTAGGCCACTAGTTGCCTCGTCTCTAAGAAATTCTGCAAGACAAAAAATGGCATATTATAAATATAGGCCATGGCATTGAATAGGAATATATCCCAATTCCATTCTACAGAATATAAGAATCTCACTTTGTTTATCTTGATGAGAAGTTGCAAAGTTTTTCCCCCATTCTCAAGAATATTAGAAGGATTTTCATAATAAAATACTATTTTTTCAATTTTCAAACACACGCATACACAAACAAGTAGGCCTATGTATTCCACCAATCCGATCCCATTGGATCATCAAGAAAGAAAAAGTGCCTAAAATACACAAAAAGAAACACCAAAAAGCAATCCCACTCTAAAAATTCTTTGACGCCAATAGTGTTCGAAAGGAAAACCTATTGGGAAATTCGGGTTTGCACGATAGCTAAAAATCCGTTAAAAACATAAGAAGTTTGCAAAGTACAGAGAGAAAATGTTGAGAAACCTTCAACAACACTCCATCGAACTCTTCTTTCTCTTCTTCTTTCTCAATAATCATTTCTTGATTGTCAACGCCCACATCTTCATATACGCAGGCTGTTCACGAGACAAATACACACTCAATTCTCCCTATGTAACAAATCTCAACTCTTTATTATCCTCCATTACTAATTCAGCTCCAGAGGCACTTTACAACAGCTTTGCTCTCGGAAACGACAGCTCAACCGCCTCACCGGATGGATCAGTTTACGGGTTGTATCAATGCAGAGGTGATTTGAAGACAGAGGACTGCTCCAAATGCATAGTCAGTGTGGTGAGCCAGATTGGTTTGCTGTGTCCATACACATATGGTGCAGCTTTGCAACTTGATGACTGTTTTGTAAGATATGAACATTTTGATTTCTTGGGAAAGTTGGACACAACTCTTAGGTACAGTACATTAAGTCACTTCCATCACTTCTTCTGAAATTTTAAACTCTTAGAAAATAGACAAATTTATTTGTTTAAATTTTGTATTTAGCAAATAGATAAATTTATCTATCTGGGTTTTGTCTTCAACAACAGTTACAAGAAGTGCAGCAAAAGTACAACAAATGATGTCCAATTCTTGCGTCGACGTGAAGATGTTATCACTGATTTGCAAAGGGCAATAGGGTTTAGGGTTAGTTCATCAGGGTTTGTTGCAGGTTATGCTCAGTGTTTAGGGGATATTGGTGCCACAGATTGTTCATCTTGCCTATCCGACGCTCTTATGAAAGTGAAGAGTCTGTGTGGATCTGCTGAAGCTGCAGATGTGTTCTTGGCACAGTGTTACGTGCGTTACTGGGCTTCTGGTTACTATGATACCTCTTCAGGTATATATAATTTCAGTTTTTAATTTTTACATATTTTTTTCAGTAGTAGCTAGGATTTTCATGAAAAAAGGGAAAATCCAATTTGTCAATCTTTTGCACGGAATAATGTAATACATTCGAGGTGAGTTACAATGAATAAGAGCCGTTGTTTGGTAGTGATTCTAATTTAAATCAAAGTCAACAATCAATTTTAACCACATATTTTATGAGATTCATAATTTTTCAATTACACATTTTATCAACTTTTATCAAAATTTACTAAACATCTGATTTTAATCTCCACCAAACAGGAGCTCAAAAAACAAGCTTCAGAGTCGCTCATAGCACGATTGGATGTGTGGAGCTAATATAAACGATATTCTAGCATAAACTATAGAATAATATTTTCATTTATACTCTAGGCCTTTGTTTGAGCCACATTAAAATTTTTATTCTCATTTTCAACCACACATTTTTCAATAAAATAATATTTTCTATCACATCAATAACTTTTTCTTATTTTTTAGCCACAAATTCTCAATCAATCTACTATTTCAGATTTCATCAATCTATTATTCTAAAATACATTCTTCCAAAATAATGTGGCTCAAACACACCCTAGATGATATTTGATCTATGTGGTAATGGAGCTACTGTCACATTGTCCTATGAAGTTATATTGCTCTAGAGGGTAGCTAACTAGGCGTTAACTTCTCTCCGACATCATGTCTGCCACTGTTTGGTTTAGTTAAACATCAGTTTTTTAATAAATTTTGATAAGTGGGCGAAATGTTTGACTTAAAAAGTTAATAAAAACTGTAAGTCTTATAAAACGTAGGGTTGAAATTGAATCTAAGGGAAAATGGGGACCAAATAGGGAATCAAACATCCTATGCAATTATAGATTAGTTGCAATCTATCTAACCTTTTTCTTGTTCTTATTCGACTCTCCAATCTTCTAACATATTCTATTTGAACCATACTTCTAAGCTTATCATATGTAGCTTTTTTTTACTATAGATCGAATAAAAATTATACTTTGATCTGATAGAAAGTTGCAAACTAAAGCTGATTCGAATTAAGCAAGTTGAACACTTTAGATCACACCCTAAAGCATTGGGAGAATAGAGAATCATATCCATTTCAAATATTTTTGCAAACCCAAAAACCAACAACCATTCTTTTGAAAAAGGAAAAGGACCTGCTTGCATTCAATTATTGTGATATTTTAATTTTAAATTTAAAATTTTTTTTTTGTGCCTTTTTATTTAATTTTAATCATACTTAATATTAACTTGATGGGTGTAAAAGGACGTTCGCATTCGATTACTTACATAGGATAGGATTGGACATGACAATTAACAAATTCGAACAGACACGTCTCTTCTTACGACAAATAATGTCCAAAAACATTGATAATCGATATAGAGATGAATATAGTTAGATTATGTGACGTACTTCTCTTTATGTCCATTCATAGGCGATTGCCGTGCCGAGTCCTAAATTGTTATATATACTTAGCACTATAGAATTGTATAATTACATAATTGGTGAATTTTCTTATTTTGTTTGATTTTGATGTTCTTGGTAGATTCTTCCAATGAAGACGATGTAGGAAAAACAGTAGCCACAATTGTGGGAGTAACTGCGGGAGTTGCTGTTATCGTTGTTTTTCTTTCATATTGTAGAAAGAAATGTGGTAATAATTAATCAAATTCCTAATTTAAATTATTTTCTTTACTTATCTTTAATTAATCACAATTTGTTGACTATAATTATACTATAATGCAGGTTAAGAAGAAGCTTAAGCAATTGGAAGATATTGGGGCATCTTGGATTTTTTTTTGTTAAATGATCGTTTACTAATAGTAAACATAGATCGAGAATTTAAACATCGACACTCTTACACTTATCACACCTTCGAAAATGAGAATAATGCGATATGTGAGTGAATGTTCTCTAGATGAAATATAAATAAACTTAATTCAATTTCATTTCTAATTAATATTCAATAAACTTCATAGTCACGAGTTCAATTCACACACCTAAGTACCAGAGCTCGATACTAAAGCATGAATACTTGTAAACTTTTTTGAACTTGCATAAGATCTTGCTTGATCGTTCCTTCATTATTAATGTTTTTACGTTTAAATTGGTCAAACTTTTTATTTTAAGATTTTTTATTTTTTAAGTTGATGGATATTATTGAGAAAAACTGTATTTTAAATAGTGATACGATAATAAATATGTGATTAAAAAGAAATGAAAAGTTATTGATATGATGGAAAATATTATTTTATTTAAAAATTTGTGGTTGAAAATGAATTTTAAAAGAATGTATTTTAAAATAATGTGTATCAAACAGGGGCTTATTGTATCAATGTATTTAATTTTATCATAACCACAACTCTATCAATATCTATAATTCCTACTTACCACCCTTTGAAGAGATGGCTTTTGGGGCAAGCTTTATTGAGATCTAGCAGTCTCAACAAACTAAACCAAACAAGAACTTATATTGATTTCAGTTAATATATGACAATTCCAAAACTTTGTATTCATATTTCACATATGCCATCAACCTTATATGTGAGTTCACAAACACAAACAAACAGATAATTTTATGCTCAAAACGCCCTAGACTTTGGGTTTGGTGACATGAGAAGCTCTATATCTTGCAGCAAATCTATTGAACAAGGCTAGAGCGTTGCTATTAACCTGAAGAAGATTAAGGACTTTGGCTTTGATCATGGCCTTCGTCTTGCCGCCGATCGACCTTCCGGAGAACCCATCAAGACACGAGCTAGCGTCGGTTATAGCGGCACTCATCCATGTCTGGACATTGCTTGCATGCCAAGGAAACTCGCTTTCACCATCTTCATTCATTTGTTGCAACTCTTTGATGGAATTAGTGATTTGATCTATGCCATCGTTTATTTGATCCAAACAATCTTTGACTTGTTGATAATCCTTGGCTTTTGATTTCTTGAATTGTTTGGTCACTTCGGTGACGTACACCCTAGTTGATAGAGCCATAGCTAGGCTCATCCTCAAGGCATTTTGGGCTAATTGCTGATGATTTAATTGTGTCGCATTCGATTTGGTGATGAGATCGGAAAGACAACGTACGCATAGCTCGGGGTAGAGTGTGGCTCGGCACTGTAACTCAACAAATGCCCTAGCACGCGAACATGGATGAACGGCCGGGTGCATTGCGCCAACAAGCGAAAAGACGAAAATGAGTAGGAAAGGGAGCCTAATAATCACCATTTTTTGTGCTTGGCAGATAGACTTTGGGAGGTTTTTCTGATTTTGTGATGTACAAATTTGAAGAGGTCAATGTGGGATTTATATAGAGAAGTTGTCACATGTTTAAGCATTTGATGTCTATACTTTTATTATACAATACTGTGCAATTTTGATATAGTTTAAGGTGCACGTGTAAGCAGTTTCCAAGAAAACCAGGTGGTCGGTTTAGGTTGGAGTGTTTTGAGTAATTTGACAATTGTAAGTGAACTTTACTTCAAATCACACCATATAAATAAAATAAGAAAATTAAAAAAAATAGCTCATAAAAGGTGTTAATAACACTTCTAACATGTTTGAACATAAGAATGGAATAATACTTAATTATATTTTTAAAAAAATGTTCTAATATTGCATATTATACTGTTAAATTATGTATTTAATACTGTATACTAAACATTTACTTCAGTATTATGCCAGTATCGTCCGTTTGTAATTGATCATTGATGTTAGAAATGAAGTAAGCGACCTTGTTGGTCATTTAGTTGTAGTTCAAGTTGAATTATATATTTGAGTTTACAAACAATGCTATTTGGCCCGTCTTGATCATTTATAACTGCGTATTTACGATATTTTACTTCTTTTAAATGAAGACTTCAAGAAAAACATGTTATTAGGATATCTCCAACCCTGCACCAAAATTTGAGGTAAGTTTTGCACCATTTTATACCAAATCTTGCATCAAATGGAAAATCATCTCCAACCCGTTATACCAGAAGTTACACCAAATGAGCATTGTATAATTATTTTCTTCATTTTTTTACTCTTAATAATTTATTAATTTGAAGAATTATTTGTTTATTTAATTTACTACTACATAAATTATTAAATAAATAATTACATTTCGTTAATGAAAAAATTGAATTCATTAATAAATTTAATGAATGTAGAATTAATAGAAAAACCACAACTAAGAAAATAATAATAATAATAATAATAATAATAATAATAATAATAATAATAATAACAACAACAACTAAAATTTCTTGTATAACATGAAAGTGACACAAATACCCNAACAAGAAAGTGACACAAATACCCTTAACAAAAGTTGGTGCAGGATGAAAGAGAGAGAGAGAGAGAGAACATTGACCATTTTGGTGCAAAATTTGGTGTTGGATTGGAGTGAGATTACACCAAATATTTGGTGCAAAATGGGGGAAAATGGGAATTTGGTGGAAGGGTTGGAGCTGCCTTAGTAGTTTTGTACATGAAATAGCAAGTTATAATTTTCAAAATATTTATGTGAAATATAACATCCTCTATATACAAATCTAACATGTTCGATAAGTTAAATGAAATAGTACGGAAAATTAAAGAAAATAATTATTTATTATATTATTTAATCTTTTTTGTTGTGAAGTGCGAACCAAACTTGCTTAGCGTACTTTATAAATATCCTTTTAAACTGAGAGTTTCTTAACTAGGAACGATTTAGAATAAAAAAAAATAAAAGTTGGAAAAGCTTCATGGCACTCTCGCCGATGTCTACGCTATTTGTTGCAAGAATTGCAAACAAATCATATAAAAGGGGATTGTTTAACCAACATGATGCTAAAATGAAGGTTCAGAAATATTCAAGAAAGTAACGATATTGGTTTCTACGTAAAGACGAGCCAAGTAATAAATAGTATTTCGACATTAGCAAATCAACCAGCAATTCAAACATACCAATTTTGACTAGATTTTGATCATTTTGACCGGATTAGTAAAAATCTTGACTATTTCGAAGAAGACTTTTTACAATAAGGCCATATTTGATTGTCACATTATCTATGAAAAATGTCACATCCGAAGAAAACGAATTCAACTTTGGCCGTTTGATTGCATCGTGAAAATGTAAACTAAATTCCAAGGTACAACCACTTTAAACTGCATTTTCTTTGTTATTATGGAAAACGAATTCTTATGGATTTAGTGAATTTTTATTTTCTAACTGACATGAAATTAGAATTCATTTCCACATTTGTCTATCAAACAAACCATAACAGTATTCAGATGCTTCGAAGCCATTTAACAAAACAGAAATAGAAAGTAATGCTATTTTCACAAATCGCCTCTCCTAATCTAATGGTTATCACCACATAGACTAAAGTTTAAGTGACTCCATAATTAAAATATTCTCCAATTCTTTAACACATTAAAAGTGTTGATTGCGTTAGTTGACTTATTGTCGGGTTTACCTGTATGTTTAAGTCACAGCTGTAACTTCATTGTATTCTGAATTGTATTTCAGACTCTGTCGATCAAGCCTTTGAGCTTGTTTGTCTGTAATCCGTTAATCCGTTTGATTGTTGTAATGAAAGTTTCTTATAAAAAAAAAAAAGTGTGGATTGGGAAGAAGCTTTTGAATACCAATTTTGCCCTTATATGTTTTAACTATATGTCAA